AAAAAAAAAAAGATTATCAAAACTTGAAATATCCAAATTAACTATTGAAAGTCCTTTAAATGAAATAATTATTGGATTATTACTAGGAGATGGACATATTCAAAAAAGATCTTTAAAAGTTAATTCTAGATTTATGTATGGTCAAAGTAGTTTAAGAATACAACATATTAACTATTTTAACCACGTATTAGAATTATTTAAACCCTACTTATCTAAAGATTTTGAACTTAAAACAAAATCATTTGTAGATAAGAGCACTAAAAATAGTTATAGTTCAGTTAATTTTGCTACATTATCATTGCCATGTTTTAATTATTACAAAAATCTTTTTTATAACTCAGATAATTTGAAAATAGTTACTTCAAATATACAAGATTTACTTACTCCATCCCGAGGCCGCGAGGCAGCCGCACTTTGTGGCCTCCTGTCCTTTTGTTTCCTTTTGTTTTTGTGTTTTTTTTAAATAAAAAAACAATACAAAAAAAAGGAAGAGGGGACCCGCTTTGCGCTGGCGCGGAGCGCGGTTAATTAATTTTATTAAATTAATAAGCGCGGCCGCAGAGGGGAGAGGTTTAGTTTATTGGATTATGGATGATGGTTCTCTTCAAAATAAAGGTTTACATTTAAATACTTATGGTTTTACCAACCAAGCCCCTCCCCCCCCTGGCTTGCCGCTAGGCGCGATGGAGAAGGGGTAGGGTTTAAAAAGTTCCTTAGAAAATAGCTGGTTGTTTGGAGAAAATACCTTGAAATGTTCAATACATAAACATAAAAAAGGAGAAAGAATTTATATATGGGGAGAAAGCATGGATGTGATAAGACACAACATATCTAAGTTTATGCATAAAAATATGCTTTACAAAATAAACTATGATAAATTTAAATAATATAATTTTATGTTACTGATCTGTTACCTTTTTATGCTATATTAAGATCTATTCCAAATAAATTATTAGGAGTTATAGCAATGTTTGGATCTTTATTAATATTATTAATACTACCTTATGTAGATTTATCTAGAATTAGAGGAAATCAATTTAGACCAGCTATGAAATTATTTTTCTGGTTCTTTGTTGTAAACTTTGTAATATTAATGTGGATCGGTTCTCAACACCCTAATAGTCCTTATGTAGAAATAGGTCAAGTTGCAACTGCATTCTACTTTGTTTGGTTTATAGTTATAGTTCCTTTATTAGGTTTATCTGAAAATTCTTTAATGGATATAGCTACAAAATAAAAATAAAAATATCAATTAAAAAAATATTAATCTCCCCACCTTATTTATCACCCCCTTTAAAAAAATAAATCAAAATAAAAATTAAAATAAAAGACAGAGGTTAAATTCTCTTGGATTAATCGCAAGTTATCCTAGCCTACTCGGACTTAGATTTATTGCGATTTTTATAATTATTTATATAAAGATAAATTTTAGCTATATAAAAATATATTTTTAATAGAACTATTAAACTTATAATATCCTTTTTTATTTTTTTTATTTTTATATAAGAATAAAAAAGGTATACTCGTATTTTTAAAATATCTTAAATTTTATTCTACTTTAGTATACTGCCTTTAATATAAAGGTCACTTATTCTTGGTTAAACCTACTTGAGGTTATATAAAATCTCTTGTTTTCAGCCTTTAGTCTGTTTATATTTTATACCTCCCTACCTCCCCATTTACCCCTTGTACCCCCCTCCCCTCCGCCATCCCGATCCCCTATCCCCTCGCTTGCCGCTAGGCTGCCGCTAGGCTGCCGCTAGGCGCGATCGAGGGAGGGGGGGTACCGGAAGAGGGGGTGGCTGCCTCCCCTGTCCTTTTTTTGATAAAAAGGGAAGAGGGAGCGCGCTCCCGCCTAAGGGGATGGCTGTGGGATCGGGATTGGGATTCGGGGAGCGAGACCGGACCGGTTTAATATGTAATCGAGCGTAAATTACGCAGGCTTCCTTCTCCCGTAGGGCAAAGTACGGGATAAAATTTATTTAAAATGAAAAATTTACTTATTGATATTTTAGCTTTTGGAACTCTTTTTTCAGGTGTATTAGTTATTACTTCTAAAAATCCTGTTATTGCTGTTATTTTTTTAATCTCAGTATTTGTTAATGCTGCAGGATATTTAATACTATTAGGAATAGGTTTTATTGGTATCTCTTATATTATTGTATACGTAGGTGCTATTGCTGTTTTATTCCTGTTTATTATAATGATGATTAATATTAAATTAACAGATATATTAGAAACTGGATCTCAGTACACTAAAAACCTTCCTTTAGCTTTAGCTATTGGATCTTTATTTATATATGAAATCTTTACTATAATTCCTTTCAGTTTTAATAATGTCTCAGCAATCTCTGCTTTATTAGATTTATTAACTAACCTAAATGGATTAATATTAAATTCTGAAATTTATACAGTAGACTATGTTAATACTGCATTTAGTCCTGTTATAGCTGATACTACATTTACTAACTTCTTACAAATTGAAGCTATTGGACAAGGTCTTTATACTTATGGTGCTTCTTGGCTTATTATTACTAGTGTAGTATTATTACTTGCTATGGTTTCACCTATTTTCATATCCAGAAAAAATTCAACCAATATTTAATTTTTTTTAATATTGTTAACATCCCCTTTTTTAAAGTTAAGCCTTTCTTTTGGGACCCCCAAAAATCTGAAGTAACATTACTCAAAATTTAATTAAAAACAAAAAACTAAATCCCCCCCACCGCTGACGCGAGCCGGTCTTCCTTTTTTTAATTAACACAACCCCTCGCTCTGCCGCTAGGCGCGAGTGCGCTCCCTCTTCCTTTTGTTATCCTGTGTTTTTTTTAATTAAAAAACAATAAAAAGGACAGGGAAGGCAGCATCCCTCACGATCCCTAGGCTGCCGCTAGGCGCGATCGAGGGAGGGGAGGGGTGAGGAGAGAAATTTTGATTTATTAATAAATCCACTGGACGAACTTTTTTTTACATTAATAGGAGGAGGAAATAGAGCTGCTGCAGTTTTACCTGTAACTATAGTATCCAAACTCCTGCTTTAATGATAAATAGTAATGTACCTGTAACTGATTCTGCTTCAGCTCCTAGCCCTGCAGGTTCAACTTCACCTAAAGGATTCTCTACTACATCAAATACACCTAATTTTAGAAATATGAGTGTAAAAGATCTAGATATTACTACTAATGAAGCCGAATATGCATTTAACCAATATTTTAGAAGCGAATACTATATTTTATACTAACTAGTTAACAGAATAATGGTTTACTTATTTATCCTTAAGCCGTTTTTCGGTGAAAATAAATCCAGAATAATTTACCTGGTGAGAATCTCAGTCCGGAGGAGAAGACTTGTATATGATTTAATAAAAAAATTTTAATAAAAAGAATAATGATTCTTAATATTTATAAATATAAATATTTTATATTTATTTGTGATCTCTACCCCAAACCTGCATCCCTGTCCTTTTTATTGTTTTTTTTTAATTAAAAAAAAACACAGAATAAAAAAGGAAACAGGGGGTGGCGGGCGAAGCCCGCCCTGGCGGGATAGGGAAAAGCTATAGCAAGGCAAATTAAAATGTGTAAAAACTTATTAAACACTTCCCCCAAGGCCACAAGCCCCTCCCCTCTTCCCTCGCTCGATCGCGCCTAACGGCAGCCTCGCGGCATGATCGGGATAGGGTGTGCGGCGACCTCCCCTCCCCCGACTAATTAATTAATTAAATTAATTAGTAGGGGTTGGGGTTGTAGATGTTTTCATAATGTATATGGGCTTAATTGTTAAATCCCGCGGACTTGAATTTGACCATAGAGCAGGGATTATCCGCATATTTTATTGTTTTGTTTTTTATTAATAAAAAACACGAAACTAAATGATTTATTGACACCTATTTTTATTTTTTACAAAATATTTATCTAAAAATATAGATAAAAATTCTATTTATTTAGGAATTAAGAAAGGATATAATGTACCTATGCTACCTGAAAAATTATATAAAATATACAATCTGTTATATATTAGAATATTACGATTTATAGGTGGTGTATGTTTATTACTTGTCTTAACCTCTAGTTACTTATCGTTACCTATTTATTTGCATAAACCTATAATTATAATAGGTGCAATACAATCAGTACAAATACTTATTATTTGTATAGTTAAAATTATTTATGGGATTTATACTTTAAAATATAAATCTAAAGAATTTGAAGTAAGAAATTAACCACTAAATCAATATGCAACACATTTAGGTAAAATATTATTTTGTGCTAAAGTAGGATGTGCTGTTACTGGTGGAGCAGCTTCTTTTCTTGGAGCAGGTGCAGTTTGCGATGAAATATTGGTACAAGCTGGAAGAGAGAGATTATTTATACCTTTTATGGGTTCATTATATAAATCTTTTCTTTGGTGACATAACACCCACAAATCAAGAACGATTAAATGCTATGACTACTAACGCTAAATCTAATTCAGATAATAATAATAATAAAGTATCTGAAATGATAAAAGGATTTCATTCAATGAGTGAGACGGAAAAAGCAACAAATTTAACAGATATTAAAGATAATATACCCAAATCAAATAATTAGTTTCATTTATTTAAATTTTAATATATAATTATCAACCCCCCGTTTTCAAATAACAGAGGTTTAACTTATTTTCCTTAGAATTAAAAAATAAATCCTGCCCCTTAAATTGATAGCAGACCGGGAGAGAAGAGTCAGTATACACTTAAACCCCCCACTTCCTTTCCCCTGGCGGGCTTGTCGTTAAAATATCAGTCTAGCAAGTATTTATTCTATAAAAGAATAATGTGAAATACATTATTATGTAAAGAGGTATAAAACCTCTTTGTTTATTTTTTTTTTGTAAAGAAAATATAATTCCAGGCTGCCGCCAGGCTGCCGCCAGGCATAGGGCAGAGAATCAAACTGAAAGTGGGCTGATTTCTAGACTATCAAAATATTGAATTTTGTCTATTTTTCTTAAGCTTTCTTACTAACTTTATCTGTATGTAAAAGAAAAAACAAAATAAGCGCCAAATTTTTGTTTTCTTATATTTGTATTTTTAAAAGAAGTATATATTTTATATAGTATTTTTACTATTATATAAAATATATCACTTCTACTGTAATTAAGAATATTAGCAGTATAAATATTATTTCTTCTTAAATATTATTATTATACATATGAAAATGATTTTAATTAATTATAGTTTTACAATTTTAGTTTTATCTAAAATAATTTTATTTTGTTTTTGGTTCTGTGTAGGTATTTATTTATATAATAAAATATCTAATTCTTTTTTAAAAGGACAATTAAATAATTTAACCTTCTTTGAGATGGTTTTAGTATTTAATACTATATTTGTTTTTATTATGTTTATAAAAACAATATTTGTTGATTATATTTTAAGTTTATATATATCCGATATCCAATTTAATTTTTTATTCATGGTAGAACCAAATAGTACAGAATCGGTTAATAGTTTTAATACTGAATCAGTAAATCAAAGTGCTAATACTGAATCAGTAAATCAAAGTGCTAAATATGACGGTATTATAAAGAGTACTGCTTTAGCCACTGGTATGCAAATAGCTAAAAAAGTTCCAAGTATAGGGGCAAAAACAGCCGTGATGGGAGGTTCTGTACTTATAGGTGCTGGAGCGATAGCAGCTAAAAATATAAGTGGTAATATGTCAGAAGATATAGGGAAAAAGGCTAATACTTTAATATCAAATTCTACAGATTTAAATAAAGCAATAGAAGAAATGTTTAATTTAACAGGGAATAATGCTTTAGATTTATTAAATATTATTCAATTTTTTCACAAATTACAAATAATATTTATAATAATAATTGTTTATAATTTTATTTTATTGAATATTAATGAAGACAAATTAGAAAATTTTTTATTAAAGATATTTCCTACTAAAATAATTAAATTTTATATAAAATCTCTAAAATTTTTTAAAAAATCTGGTTTTATTATTATAATTTATTTATTAATTTTATTGCTAATCTCAAATTTATATTCAACTTATTACCTTAATTTCTTTATTTGTAACTTGGATAATATTATTGATATATATTTTAAAAAATAATTTAGTCACAAGTTATAAATTTTATTATGCTTGTTTAATTTTATACAATAGGTAGACGTTTAATAAACTACATTTATCATTCAATTTAAAAAACTTTTATTTAAAAACTATTGATCTTAACAATTTTATTAGAGACTTTTTACAATTCTTAAAGCTAATACTAAATATGCGGTAATAAATGAGAATAAAATACAGGTTTTAAATCAATGAAGTCCACTAATAAATCAAGGTTTAACAAAAATAATAGTTATTGATATCGAAACAATCCAAAATGAAGATGGACTTGTTAAAGCTTTCTTATTCTCTCTTTACGACGGAAAAGAATCTAAATCATTTTTTTAACAACAAGCTGATTATTTATTCAATTTTTATTAAGAAGAAAATATAGAGACTATCAAGTATTTTCCCCCTCCACAATTTATCAGCTTTTTGATATTATTTTTTATCTTCAAATATATCGCATCTGTAGCTAAAAGATGTTAAACCTATCTTAAAGGATGATAAAATAATTGGTATTAAAATTAGTAATAAAGAGAGAAACATTTCTATAAATTTAAGAGATTCTTTTTTAGTTTTACCTAGTTCTTTAGATAAATTATGTACAGTGTTTGAAACTGAAACCCGGGCGAACCCCGCTGTAGAACCAATATTATCCCCTCTTCCTTTGGTAAAAATCCTAAGTTTCAAACTTTTGCTGAATACTCTAAAGAAACTAAACCAATCGACAACTTCACAGAATGGAAAAAAGAAATCAATATCTTTATTATAATGTCCCAGATCAGACATTTTATATTGTTGACAAAATAGTTTTTAAATGATTATAATACATTCTTTATCTAATATTATTCATATCAATAATTAATCCTCCAGCGGAGATGAAGAGTTCTTATTTGTACTAAATTGATATTTTCAGAAAATACCCTCCCCTCCCCTACCCCAAGCCCCATCCCCAAGCTTGCGAGGGGAGGGGAGGCGGTCCCCTGTGTCCCACCCACCCCACCTCTCCCCTGGCGGGATGGCGGGATGGCGGGATCGGGAGGGGTGTAGATTTTAGGATATACCAGTAATCTATCCAAAACAGAGTGTATACTGTTATATTTGTAACCAACATGAAAGAATTTATTGAAATTTTAAGCTTATTTGGGATTCAGGTTAATGAAGCTAGTTCTCCTATATTGTTATTTGCTTGTAGTATTTTAGTTTGTCTATTGTTGCTTTATCTTGTTTTATAAATATTTTATATTAGTATTATTTTTATAATTGATAATAAAAAATAGATCCGTAGCTAGAAAAATTACCAGCAAGATTGCAAGTTTTCTTACTCCATATAATTAATATATATAAAAAAACTAGAATAATTTTTGTTATAATTGAGGTTATACTTTTTTTAGTTTGTTTAGGTTCTGTTATATGGTATTGTAGTAGAATTATTTATGGTTTAATGTAAGTAATTTATTACTATTGTAAAAATATAAAAATTATATTTAAGTATTCTGTCGTAGCTTTTTAATGGACTATAAGTTATTACAATAATAAGTAAGTATACTCTAAAGATGTTAAGAGATGGCTTAGGATTCCAGCGTAACCCTAGAAAAATAAAATATTTATATAATAATTATTATACTATATAAGAATATATAAAGATATATAATAATATATATATATATATTACATAGATTTTATTAAGAAACCCTCCCTCCCCTTATTCTAGAATTGGAATACGTGGGTGCGCTGGCTTACGCGCCAGCGCCAAGAGGGAGGGTAAACATCTTAATAGAAGAATTGCTTAAGATAAGATCTTAGGATACCTTAACTAATTAATAAGTTTAAACTTATTATTAATTATTAATTATATATATTATATATTAATTATAAATTAAGGTATTTATCTCTATCTCGAGATTATTTTAATCAAAAAAATAATTAAATTAAAATATTTTATATATTAGTATAAATATGTATAGTAGGGGACTTAATAAACTAAGATTATATAATAAAATAAATAAAATTAAATTATTTATCTAAATATGTAACTAAATATTGGAATATTTAAGACTACTACATTAATAGATTATCCCTTCATACTCGGGATAATCTATACTGGAAAAACAATACTGTTAAAAAAAGCATTGTAAATGTAACAAATAATATCAAAGGAGAAATACCAGCATTACCAAAAAAAAATAATAATTATTACAACAAAATTCCAAAATGGGTAC